CTGACAGATCGTCACAGGAAAGTGCCACTTAGGGTTGGTTACGACAGCCAGTGCTGCAGCAGACGGTTAGTCTTAGAGGAAGTGTCGAAGATTCCACCAGAAACGGAAGCGGTTAGTTGGGCGGAGGTTGGCAGTGATGGAGACGGAGTGGTTTCGTCAGGAGAAGGAAGCGGTTCACCGATACAGGAAAAGCGTGACGGTTCCGCTAGCTCAGTGAAGAAAAGGTCGCAACAAGGTAGTGGTCATGGCGAGCCAGGCAGTGTATCCGGCAGGAGGAAGGCCACTGAACCACGTTGCAATGGTGATACGCCGGTGGCCGGAAATGGAAGCGGCTGTGGAAACAGTAGCCGCGCTTTGAAGTGTCCCGGAAAAGGTGGCCGGCAAAGGCGAGCAGTTAATTCGGAAGCCAAGGATGAGGTTATACATGTCCGGTCAATGAGGTTGACGCCTGCGAAAGAGCGAGATGCGGAAACATTGGGAAAGTTTCAGCGTGAGGAACCGGATTTAGCAAGATGTGCTAAAGGCAGTGCAGCACGAAGGCAGGAGCCTCGGTGTCATGCACAGAGGATGCGGCATAGATCTGGCGAAAAGGGTGCCCACAAGAGGAGCCATGGTCTGGTCACCACAGTGGCCGGCAGAAGCACGACCATATGAGATGGTGCACCACCGGATATAAGCTGGAAGCAATGTCCAGCAACGCATCGAGCCGAGAGGAGCTACAGGAAGGCGATTTGGTGATGTTGCACATGCCGTAGCCGAAGAAAGGCGTCAGCTCCGAACAACATTCTAACTGGAAAGGTCCGTATAGGATTGACAAACGGCTGAAGGACGCAGTGCATCCAATCCAGACAGCTGGTAGACCGAGAACCAAGATAAAAGACTAGCAACGTTTGGAACAGCAAGTGTGTCTGGTCGGGACGATCAGACTTAGGTGGAGGGCAGTGTGGCGAATACTGCGGCAACACATAGCGAACAACGAGAAATAGGCAGAATGTTCGAGGAATGACGTAGAATGTTCCACAAAGAGAAACGTCAAGTTGGATGAACACTGCGAACAGCGAGAGAAAGAGAATGAGCGATAAACTTCAGAACGTTCTAGAGTTGCCATAAGTATGAGCGCAGGTATATAAGAGCCACGACACAGCGAGGTGAGTGAGTTACAAGTCAGCAAGNTATAAGTTTAATTGTGTTACCAAGTTTAGTTAAGCGCTGTTATTGCTTTAACAAGTATTGTAAAGTGTTTTTACTGTATTAGCGAGTATTGTAAATTGTTTGTTGTACAATAAAGTTAATTGTACTACAATTTGGTCATCGATTGCATTTATTTAACAATCCAGCGATACGAACCGAGAGATTTGGGAAATCCGGACGAGGTTTCAAGGATAATCGTAACACCCGATTTACATGATTCAAGTACTTGAAAGCAATTCTTGCTCATTCTCTTTTGTGTTTTCTATTTGCTTTTACACGTTTCAATTCTGTTGAATTCAAGTTTTTGGTTCTTTAAATGGGAAGCAACGAAAATGCCAAAAGCAAAGCAAGAAAGTTGAAACGACTTGACGGTACAGACGCATGTGTACTCGTCCCTTTTCTTCTCACCCCCTCTCTTCAACATGCGAGCAGAATTGAATTCAATAGTTGAACTGTGTAAAAGCAGTCTAACAATATTGAGTGTCAAACGTCAATATTGCCATATTTCTCTTTGTAATTAACGACAATCCTCGTAAACTTTTTTATCGACATGTCTAACGAATTCTGTCGTTAAGTGGGTTTTTGAGAATAGCCTATTCACTACTACAAGCGACAAACGTCGTTCATTATCAATAACGAATATCGGTCGTTAGGAAAAATGGGAATCGCACTACTGGTCTGCTAAATGTCCCTTCCGATTTACAAGATGAACCAGGTACCGCCGGCTTTTACTCTTTCAGAATAATGTATGTATATATATAGGTTCATTCCTTATCTTTTTGGACTAAAATCTGAAAAGTGTCAAAATGCCAGAGCGTAAGCAAAATGCGCTCACTAAAAGAGAGTAACAGGAAAAGTAAAGGAACGCAAAAAACCAAATTTTTAGTCCAAAGAATGGCAACAACAAAACTAACGTCAAATAAGAATGGAAATGTATGTGCAAAACACATTCACACAAGCACAAGCACAATAAACACTTACTATATCAATTATTTTTTGCCTCCTTCCAATTTTAATTCACTTTTTTTTTTACTTTTTAGATTATTCTCACTTTTTGCGTATTCTTTAATTTCCGTTAATTTAAATTCAGTTGAGTTTGACACTTTTCAGGATTTTGCCAGAAAAAATTCTTCTGACTAAATCTGCCTACTTCGGACTGATGAGAGTCACTCTCGATAAGTGTTGCTCTCTCATTTTTGCTGTCATTTCCGAGTTAAGGAACGCTTTTTGGACTAAATCTGACTACTTCGGACTTTTACTGACTATTTATGGGAGATAAGGAACGCTCCTAATATGTGAAAACTATCGATAGTGCTTACAAAACCATCGATGTTTTCGATAANAAATTCTTCTGACTAAATCTGCCTACTTCGGACTGATGAGAGTCACTCTCGATAAGTGTTGCTCTCTCATTTTTGCTGTCATTTCCGAGTTAAGGAACGCTTTTTGGACTAAATCTGACTACTTCGGACTTTTACTGACTATTTATGGGAGATAAGGAACGCTCCTAATATGTGAAAACTATCGATAGTGCTTACAAAACCATCGATGTTTTCGATAATCAAAAACCATCGATACTATCGATAGTGCCATCGATAGTTTTCCAGCTCTGTTTCACAAATTTTAATTGTATTAAATAAGTTCCAATTTAACTTGTGGAAAAAAGGTTGTTTTAGTTAGAGTCGAAAATAAAATGGAATCGGAAATAACAAATGCTTGGGGACAAACTTCTAAAAATTCAATTGAAACTAGTTTCTCTGAGATAATGTCCGAAGAATACGCACAACGCTTACATAACCGAGAAATAAAGTGTTTTGAAGAGCGCTTGGTTAAACAAGCACAGCGTGAATCTACGGATACCCAACTGACAAGATTAAGGTTGGTGGTACGCAGAAAAATTTTTATCTGGAGTAAATATCGCCACACAATACGGGTGTTGTATGGGTTCTTTTGATACGAGAGTTGTACGGGTTCTTTTGCTACGGGTTTTAGTACGAGTTCAGATTTCAAAGGCCCTATCTCCATAGGGAAACGCTGATGTGACAGTCATGTCACAATAGCTCTAATCCAATGATTCATTAATAGGTTTGGGAAATGTTTGCGGTAACTCACTAGTTTAGGGTAACAATTGCTAAAAAAGGTCCGGAAATGTCGAGAGGGGTATCAATCAACGCGTTTCGGTCCCCGTATTAACAATCCGGGGGCGGAAGGTAAATATTAACCATTGAAAAGTTATTAAATAAAAACTGTCAAATTTCGTTGTTTTGTATGGGCAATTACCCCGACAAAAATTCGCTACATCACCTCTTCTAGCTTTTTTACCACTACCAAAACGTCTCCCGTTATTGTTTTATTAAAACAATATCATTTATTCACTACTATTTCATATATTTCACTAATAAAACAGTCAACAAACTGCGCTTGACAAAATTTTTATAATCTAAAATCGCTAGTATTGTCACTTTATTTCACATTTCATTGGCGCTATTAGGGTGGGGTTTAGTAGCGCCCCCAACTATTTCGGGCTATTCCTTCCAAAGGGGTGGCCCGATCCAACAAAAATTCCACACACTTGTAGTCAAGGGTCTACACATCCCAACAAGCAAAATAAACTTAAAGAAAGTTTTTTTTAAGTTTTCAATTATAAACATTAAGCTTACAAAACGTTGATTTTTTGTTTATAAAACGCTTGAAAGTAAGCGTAATATAATCGAAAAGGAACATTGGTTATAAGCGTAGAAATATAAACTTGTAATAAATGTTCAAAAGAAAGCTTTTTATAAGCGTAAAAGTGTAAACTTATAATAAAGGTTCAAAAAAAGTTTTTTATAAGCGTATGAATATAAACTTACTAAAAATTTTCAAAAGAAAGCTTTTTATACACATTTTTGTAACCCTTTATTTAAAGATATTTCATTAAAAACTCATACATAGATTGCTTAACATCTAGAAACTAAACGAAATGCGAATTTTCGGCGGACTCATCTACAGACGCGAAAATATAAATAGGGAATAGACATTTTAGCATACAAATTCACAATAACAAATACAAATTAAGCATAAAAAAGTTAATTATTACATCTTGTTGCGTGTTTTCAATTACTTGCGGTTATTGGCAAATTGGAAAAGCGACATCGATGCAGCTATATATTCCGCTTCATCGCCGCCATTCTCATTGATGAACTTTTCTGAAAAAAATTTAATACATTTTTAATTGAATGTTAAACTAAGAAAGGATAAGGGGAACTCATCATTTTAAGACTCGAATGCTCCACCGATTAGCGCAGCGGGTCCTGGATTGGACTTTTTTTTACCACATCGGTTTTATTTAATTTTTTCTTTTAATAATATATTTTAAAAAACGTAAACACGTCACTTACGATTGAAAAAATTTTATATTTACTACTTCATGTCGTTGGCATTTACATTTCATTTATAAGTTTAAGTCATTTATAAACATTCGCTCTCAAAGCTTATTAAAGGTTTATTTGAAAAAACTTTTAATAAGCTTAATATTAAAAATGCTTATTTAACGCTTATTATAGCAAACTTAATTTAAGTTATTTTTAAAAACGTTTACTGAAATGCTTGTTGGGATTATTTTAACACCCACTTTTGTAATTTTTGGTCACTAATTTATTTACAAATTGGGTTTGAAATACCCCCTTTTTTGTAAAATTTGGAAATTAGCGTACATTTATCACTTCTATTCTCCTCAAAGCAGCCACTTCACCAATATATTTTTGGTAATTCTCTAGTAGGCGATTTTATTAAAAATATTCATTATTTATCGAAGTATTGATTTTTATAGGAAAAGCGCCGCAGGCGAAAATTTTTAATAAAAAATCGCGAGCAGCGCAGCACGGGCCCACGAAGTTCCTCGTCCAATCCTGCGTGGTGCGCAGACCTGAGCATGCCCTAAAGTGGCACCAGCCAAGGCAGGTGTTGCACTTGACTGATGTCACATTACGGAATATCCTGGTCTGACATACCGTGCAGATTGTAGCAGGAACCAGGAGTTGTTGGCGGCGGCGTGTGGGTGGTGGTGTGGTTGTGTGTGTTCTGTGGTCTGTAGCCGTTGTGGTGTGGTCTATTGTGTTATGTTGTTGTGCTGTGGTGTTTGTGTGCGACTGCTCAGGTGGACTAGGGTTAGCCGTGGAGGCTGCTCTGTTAGAGCAGCAGGGGGCCACAAAAGACGTGGTCCACTGCCGATGTGTCCGTAGTCCTGAGCAGACTCTGAGGTGACTCCACCCCTCGCAAGCATTGCACTTCACAAAGGTGGAGTTGTGGTGTAGTCGTCTCTGGCATACACAGCAGGTGTAGGTTTCTGGCCCTGGGTTTGACTCGATGCCAGCCCTGAGTAGGAGAACACGTAGCGAATGTAGCCCTACGGANTTTATGAACCCATATAATAAGTTATAATTTTAATCATGCATGTATTAAGAAAATTTATCAAATCATAAGTGTACTTATAACTTTTCATATTTGAATTAATTTTATTAACTTACACAGGTTACAATTTTTCATGCAAGTATTATATTTATCAACTATTACCTATTTCGTGCAAGTATTTTATATATATATTTATATATATATCGATTGTTGTTGTTGTAACAGCATACAAATTCCCCAAAGAGATTTTGGGGAGTGTTGCTGGAGTGGTGGCAGTCCTTGGCCAGATATATATCTATCTGGGTCGTTCCGGTTACGTAGACCCGAATGTCGTGGTTGTTGTTGTTGTTGTAGCAGCATACAAAGTGTTGCAGGAGTGACAGTCCTTGGCCAGATATAAATCTGGGTCGTTCCGGTTACGTAGACCCGAATGTCGTGGTTGTTGTTGTTGTTGTAGCAGCATACAAATTCCCCAAAGAGATTTTGGGGAGTGTTGCAGGAGTGACAGTCCTTGGCCAGATATAAATCTGGGTCGTTCCGGTTACAGAGACCCGACTGTCGTGGTCGATACTATCGCTGTCTTCCGTTTTTAATTTAATTCAAGGGGACATTGATTGTGAGCTTCTGTTGCAACGCATAAACTTTCTTATTCCGGCAAGAACTTTACGAAGCTCTTACCCTTTTTACCTTAAGATTTTCAAAACCAATTATGAATCCAATGCACCAATTACACGGGCGCTTCGCGAATTTAATGAGACCTCGAATTCCATTTCGTTTGATTTTTCAATTTTTAAGAATCAGTTGACTCTTCTGTTGAATTCATCTTTTTAACTTTCATACATTTAATAAACCAATGTAGCAATTTTTATTTTAGTCATAATTTATCTTCTAACTAATTTTGAATGATTTGTATTAGCACTAAGTGAGTAGACAGTAAGAACCATTGTGTTTTCTGACTAATTAAATAAATAAATAAATAAACATCTCATTCTTAATTAACGATGCCACTGTTTCTATATGAAGCTGATTTCGACATTTTGTTTTAATAAAATTTAGTATCGAAAATATTCTTTCAAAACATGCCTAGGAATGTGATATAATGGTTCGTTCAAAACCTTTTTTTAAAACTTATAAAGGCAAAAACGAAAAGGCGAAGACAAAAAGAGAATAAAAAAATTCCGCGCAGTGAATATTCAGATTTTTAAATTTAAATAAAGCATGAAGACCCCATGGAATAAATGAGTAGATAAAAAATATATAACGGTAAAACTGGCACATACATAAATATATGAAAGAATGCACTCAGGCGACGAGTCTAGCCATTGTGTGTCACAGATTTAAGTTATCGATGGAAATTTTTTTTTTCATCCCCCCCTAAAGCCAAATCCGGGCTACGCCACTGGTGCTGCCACTGTATTAGTATTTCATCAAGAATGATAGAAAACAAGATTGCGCCAATCCAGCTGAGAGCAACTGGCCGTGACGTCAAAATATACCAGAATGAGAGAGCAAGACGAGCTCGACAAGAAAAAGAAGAATCATCGAACAAAATGCAGTATAGCCAAGTTTTGAATTTGAAAAAGCACCAAATTTTTATTGGTGTATTTTATGGACTTTATATGAATACATAATTTTATTGTAAGGATGCCGATTCAAACTAATAAAAATCAATGTTTCTTGCACAACGGTCGATTTCTTCTGGCATGATTGAAGGTGCTGCACATATTTCGTTGTCGCTTATGATTCTCACTGTGCCATGATTTTGTTTAAATTTTTGTAAAATTGCTTAGAACACTTACGATTGCTATAGACTTTGCTTAAATTTTTGTAAGATTTTCTAATTTGAAGTCTTCAAACTAAAAACAAAAGCACCAAAAACGCACCAAGCACAAAACTCAAAAATTTTCGCGTTTTGAAAGAGAAGAAAAAGCAAAAAAGTAAACGAACAGGAAATTTCCCATCACTTGCAAAAACCGGAAGAAGAAGCCAGCTGACTTTGTTTATGTTTTATTTGTAAAGGGAATGTTGCCTCCATGGAAGAAAAAAGGAAAGTGAACGTTCAATGTTCGCCAGGAACATTTCTAGAAGTAAAAACTAGTTGGCACTATCATAAAGTCACATAGCAGGCAGCCAAAAAGCATATAAATACCAAAACTCGAAAAACGCAATTTTGTTTGTTTACAAAAATTGCAACCATATGTTTTGTGATCATATGTTTTCGTGTTGGATAAGTTTTGCTGACTAAAATTTTGACAGTACAAAATGAACGCTTCTCTTGCAAGAAAATGAACGCTTGCTCTCTCAATTTTTGTGTGTTGGATATTTTTTTTGTCGTTATCGAACGCCATCCAGTAAAAATTTGGAAAAACTATTACAAATTTTTGACTTTTCGAACGCAACTTATATTATGACGTCAGCGATTGGGTGGATGCTGTCAAATCGACGAAGAGAGGGTTAGCGGACCGCGAATGGCGCGACCTTTATTT